GGAACAGATTTTGCCGAATTGCTATTAACAAGAGTTATCCACATACACTGTCGCAAAGCCCACCTTTCTCATGCAAGCTCATCCATATTGTCCTGTGGATACTTTCTCTCTCCTGGATCTCAAGAGTTGGAAGATATCCTAACCTTGGCCTCCTGGGGACACTGTGCAGTTCTCCTTCTGGCTCGTCCTACTGCTACCACCTCTAATCCAAACCACCCTCGCACCTGTGTAAGTCAAAGGGCTTTCCCCATGGCATCTTATTTGATTCTATCTTGTGGGATAGGAAGGAAAGTTGTAACAGCATTGTCTGGGATGTGAGGGCCAGAGAGGTCAAGTGATTGGTCTAGGGCCCTCAGATGTATGGATGGAGAGCCAAGATGAGAAGCCAATACCCTGCCTTCTTGCTGAGTACACTTCCCACCACACCACCGTTACCCAAAGATGGTGATGTAAGTCTGGGAAGGGCAGGGTGAAGGAAGTTTTATCAGATAGGAACTGATGCCACTAAGTTATTTAAAACACCTACTATGGGCCAAACACTGGGTCTAGAGTTAGCTTCCAGGGAGTTCACAGTCCAGTGGGGAAGAGACAGGCCACCCCTTGGGTCATGTCAACATGAGGAATCTGGAGCCAAGCCAGGAGTGGCGTTGGGATGGACCCTACCTAGCACAGGGAGCTCAGGTAAAGCTGAATGTGGGCCGGCCAGACTAAGGAAAGGCATTTTAAGAAGAGTGAACAGTGTGTGCTTCCAAAGATGACCTGATACATGAACCTAGGGCTTGAGAACAGTTCCATATGGCTGTGCACACACGTCTGCGTGGATATCTGTGGTTTGCTCTGCCCCACATCCATTCTCCTTCTAGATACAGTGCCTGGACTTTCCTTTGGGGAACCGGCCCAACCCCACTTTCCTGTCTCCAGGATAGGCAAGGAAGCAGCAGGTCAGTGAGACTCAACTTGGGGACTTCTACAGGAATGATGGGAAAGACGAACTCTCTTTCCAGTGGGATGCTGAGTATTTCCACAAGAGAAAGCCTGCCCTGAGCAGGAAGCCAACCTGGGTGAAAGCAGAGTCAAGGGACTGAGAGAGATGGAGACCAGAGGAGATGGGTTAGTCCCTGGATCCAGCCAAGCCTAAGAGGTCTGCCCCGGAATTTCAACTGTGTGAGCCAACTGATTCTGATTTTTCACTTAAATCAGATTGACTAGGATTTGGGTCATCTGTAACCAAGAGGGCAGACTAATGCAATGGGGCGAGAGGATTGGCGGTGGGGGTTGAGGGGCGGTGGAGAGACGAGCAGGGGTCAGCTCATGGAGGCAGGTACAGGCAGGTGACGGAGTTCAAGATTTAACCAGCCACTAGAACTGAGAAGATTCTAACTGCCACCCCGGAGAACTTTGGTAGTGTGACTGTGGAAACAAAATCTCTCCTGACTGAGACAGAGAGAAAGAAAGAGGGAAAAAAAAAAAAAAATCAGTGACTCTTCCAGAAATTTCAGAACCTTCAGAATACCTCTTCTAGGGTTTTCCCATCAGGATAGATGGCCTACTCTGGAATTGGAGCCAAAGTATTAATTCATCAGTCCTGATGGCACGTATCAACTTATCTTAATTTCTGAAAATACACTCGAGCCTTTCAGACCAGTCTCTTTTCTCTGTCACCAAGAAGAAAAAGGGTCTCAGCAGAGATGAAGCAGAGGGAACATGGCCCTTTCAAAATGCTCCCCTCTGGCTGAAATGGAACACTGAAATGAAACACTGAAGGGAGGCGTCTCTAGCAGATAGATGGGCTTTCCTGTCCCTTTAGCACCGTGAGCAGGCCTTCCGCGGGGGCTGGGGAGACAAAGCACTGGCAGATGAGCTGTCATGGGCTCGGGGAACTCACGCTCTCCAAGCCAGGAGAGTGAAAACTGGGGGAGGGAAGTCTCCCTTCCAGACCTGGGAGCCCCCTCATTACATAGAACCCTTTCCCCTTGAGAGTGAAGGACAGTAATTGGATCAAATGAAACAGGGGCCAGCCTCCTTCCCCCTCCCGGGTGAGAGACTTCCAATATGGCTTCATTACCAAGTCTTTTGTAAACAAACTGTGTGGAGAAAAATGCCATTTGTTCTGCTGTAATTGCCTGATGAGCATCATTCGATGGGTCTTTGAAATACACAGAATGAAATCATTTTGGGTTTAGGAATTCCTTTGTGCAAAGCCTTCTCCATTCACTATTCTCTAGAGAGGGCGTCTCTGAAAGGGGACTTCTTGACCATGGAGGCTGGTTTCTGGCCAGTGACACACCAGCCCATATTTATTCAGTGCCTCCTCCATGTCAGGCAATCCTTTAGGTACCTGGGATACAGCGGTGAGTGAAACACACAGACATTCCTGCCCTCCTGAAGTTTCCATTCTGGTGAGCACTCAGAACACAGGTGTGCCCATTTCTGGGTACACACTTGGTAGAAAACTCTGTAAATCAAGTTTGTTTGACTGCTGGATTGACGAAGTGTGACGTTACAACTCTTTCGATCCCCTGTGTGTGCTTTCACTGTACCCATAAGGATGTGACATTTGGAAAATGAGATTGCATGGGCTACGGATATGAAATAAATGACATATGTGCCATCACTTGCCACACCTGCACCCGTGGCAGACATCACTAATCAATCACCACTTTTTCTCATTAGCTTGGATGCAGCTTCAGAATGCATAGCAACACAGTGCTGGGTAGCCCCTATTCCTGAGCAGATCAGAGTTGGCTGCGAGAGGAAACCTATTTGCTATTTCTCACTTAGACTGTCATGAATTCACTTCACTGAGAGGCTATAGAATATCCCAGTAAATTAAGAATAACCCCAGGAGGGTGCAAAAATCGAAGAAAGGGGGAAAGACTGCAGCCAGCTTCTCAGGCTCGTTTTCCTCTCACGAGTCTTCTCTCCCTCTCTCCCTCTCCTGTCCCTACAGAAGTCTAGGAAACATTGGCAGGTCAGAGTGCGGGCTCTGCAGCCAGGACCTGGGGCCAGGTCCTGGTGCCATTACTCCACCTGTGTGGGGCTTTGGTCTGAGCCCCACTGGCCTCCCTGCGAAATGGGTATAATGATGACATCACTCTGCTAGGGATGCTGGGAGGACTGAACAAACCAACACATGTGAAGGGCTTGGCACAGTGTCCCGTCAGCTCCGAGTAGGGCTGAAATCCAGCTATTGCACCTCAGAGGGGATACAGACTTGTCTGCAGCTGGCGTCCGCTCTGACTGGTTGGTGCCTGTGTCCTCATTGCCCTTAAATACGTCGAGTATCACTCCTGGACATGAGGGTTAGTTCAGGGGCCAGTCCCCTTATGGGAGACAGCTTCAGAAGTCCGGAGCTAAAACAGACACAGATGGCCCTTCAAACCAAAATAGTGTTGTGGCAGAATGCCAGGTTGTGTTTTCTTGCTAATCAAGGGTTTATGTTCCCTGGTTCTGAAGGGCTCAACCAGTGGTGCACAAGGGGACAACAATGATGTCGAGAATGAAAACAACCTTTGGGATGTTGTTAAGGAGCACCCAACCCGCACGGTCGCATTTAATCCTCTGCGTGACCCTGTGAGGATTCAAGTATCATTAAGCCCATTTTGTGGAAGCAGAAACTGAGGCTCAGTGAGGTGAGCCTTCCTTATCCAAGATCATGTAGCTGGTCAGAAGTGGCAGAGATGGGATGTGACCCCAGGCTCAATCACTGTGTGAGACAATGATCTCTTGCATAAAAAGTTGGTGCCCAATTTGGGAGGGGGGGGCGCATCAGGGTTGTGTATTCCCAGCAATGTGCCACTGGCCATCCCTCGTGGGCGGGGGTATGCCCTCCCAGGGGCCCCGGGGATGTCAGAAGCAGGCCCTGGCCCACCTCCCCTCAGAGGGACCAAGCCTCTCTTCTTCACCTGACTCAATATGGAATCCCACAACTGAAGGGGAGAAAGTGGCCCCAGAAGTTTGGGTGGCTAACTAGTAACCACCATTTCCCTACTACCATTGTCGAAGCTTCTATAGCACATGGGTTGGTGTAAATATTTATTCACTGGATCTTTTTTATTTTAAAGATTTTTTTGTTTATTTATTTTATAGCGAGTACGCGTGCCTGCCCCATGCAAAGGAGCAGGGGGAGGAGCAGAAGGGGAGGGGGTGAGGGGAGGGAGGGGGAAAGAATCTCAAGCAGACTCGCTGCTGAGCACAGAGCCAGATGCGGGGCTCGATCGCTGGACACTGAGATCATGACCTGAGCTGAAACCAACGGTTGGACGCTTAACCAACTGAGCCACCCAGGCGCCCCTTCACTGGATCTTTAATAAATTTTACCAATTCTTAATTGCTGGTTGTGTGCCCAGGTTGCATGTTAAACACTTCTATTACCTCATTCAATCTTCACAAGAGCTCTGTAAGGTAGGTAGTATCATTGCCATCTCACCTCAGATGAGGAGAGAAAGCCAATCAAACTTGCCCCAAATCACCAAGCTCCTGAAAAGTGGAGTTGGGATTTGAACCCCCACTTTTCTGAGTCCGCAACTTGAGCTCCTGACCACTGGTCTCTATGGCAAACTCCAGCAGTGGTGGATACAAAAAGGAAAACCGGAGAGGGGTGGCCAGGAAGCACTCAGGCTACCTCGGAATCTGGGAGGCCGGGGGCCATCCCCAGAGCACAGCATTCCCCTAGGCCTGTGTACCCTCCTTGTCCTGGTTTCTCTTCCCCGCTGCTGGTCTGCCGCGCATCTCACCGGGAGACACGGCACCATCTTGACTGGAAGTGAGACCTGTCTTATTCTAACTCGGCCGCCCTAAGAAGTGGATGATGTAAGAGCTGTGGTTAAGGCCAGGCTTGAGCAGCCTGAGGAGACACCCCATGTCCACTATCACGCACCACAAGGAGTGGCCCATAGCCCCTGACTTCTTCACCTGAGCAACAGGAGCTGCAGAACCCTCAGGACAGGTGCCAAGGCGGGTGTGGCAAGGAGAAGGGGGCTTCCAAAAAGCTGGCTCACCTTGAATGAGATTTCATACTGCTCCCCTCCCCAGATTTCCAGGCCTGGGTCGTACCCGCCCAGCTCCCAGAACCATTTCCGATCCACAGCGAACAGTCCACCGGCCATCACGGGAGACCTGTCAGGGAAGAAGAGTGCGGTGTGAAGACCAAACGCCCTGGCAGCGTGCTCTGGGTGTGAGCCGACGCTGTTGTTCCCCCGGGGATGGTGCTGCACGATGCCCTGTGAGCACAGCCCACATGTCTCGCGGGGACTCCGAGGCCCTTCCAAGGGAGGGCCCAGGCTGTCTTCTATCTTGGCCATAACCTCCCTTCTTAAATGCTACATTTTAACCAAACTGATCCAAAGCGCCTTTCAACCGTTACTTGTGAGAGGAAATCACAGGAATGTGCGTGCCTTGCAGCTGCGTTGGCCATGCCTCTCTGGTCCTCCCACGGTTACATGCTCTGAATCAGGTCCCTCCCAGCCTGTCTGCGCTGTGGAATCTCTTAGAGAGAAGACAAAACACAGCTTGCTGGGCCCTACCCCAGACCTATGAAGCAGTCCCTGGGGGATGGAGCCTAGGAATGTGTGTTTTCAAACAGGTTCCTTGGATGACTCTCAGTCAGCCCAGCACTGGACATCTGTTCTGCTGAGAGTTTGCAGAAGAAGACACAGTGTCTGTTCTTTCCGTTACACTAGGATACGATTAACTGCGCCCATTTGCTGTCTCATTGCTCTAGTCCCTGAGTACCAGCTGAGCCGCAGACGCTGGGAGACTGTGGTGGTAAATCGGAGTTGGCCTGGGACTTCAGGGGGTGCTAGTGTGCGAGGGCAGCCCCCTCAGGACAGAAGGATCCGGAAGACAGGTAACAAGGGCCTCTGGCAGGTGCAGACAGCACCACAGGAACATGAAAGGAGGGAGTATCTGCCTCCAGGTTTTGGAGGCAAGGAGGGAGGCTGAGGCAAGAGTCCAGGAAGGGTGCTCAGGGGGTGGCATTCGAGGTAGGTTTGGACAAGTGGGAAATGAGGGGAGAGGAAGGAACCCCGCAGAGGAAAAGCCCAGGAGCAAGAGCACAGAGATGATAAATCGGGGGCACCACGGGCAACAAGACGTCAGCATGGCATTGTGCCACGCCCAAGGGGGATGCCATGCGGCAGCCTGCCTGCATCCCCACGGTGCCTCACACAGCGCTGGCACCCAGGGGGGCCACCGGTATTTGCTGAGGGAAGATCTCTCAGAGTGGCCGTGTCCTTATCCGGCTCCACTGGAAACTCCAAACCCTCAGACCAAGTTACATTCCAGCAGCAAACTTGATGCTACCTCCCGGCCTTGGGAACTGCAAGCTCATGGAAATTGGGCTGATTTAAAAAGAACATAGCTAACCCACATGCCTCCCAAGCTTCCTGTAGCAGATGAGCCTTGAAAGCATAGGAGGGACTCCTTTAAAAGAAGATCCCCTTGAATATTCACTGAGGGCTCAAATGTGGCAGGTGCTTGCCTGAACTAATTTTTTAATAAGAATGACCACTCCTTGCGTTGACCTCATGAGATGGGCCTCATCCTTATCACCCCACTGGCGCAGGTAGAAACCAGAGCACAGGCAGGTAACTTGCTCAAGGCTTCACAGCTACTTAAAGCAGGTTTTGAATTTCTAATCTTTGCCAGAGCTCACACCCCTCAGGGCCACAGAACAATTCCTCCTGTCAAGAAGGAGCAATTAAGAGGCAGGTGATGCGTGAACAGGACAGGGGATCAGGGATGGGAAAGCCATCCCTCCAGCTTCCTCTCTCCTTTACCTTTGGTGTGATCTGAGACAAAGTGTTTAACCATTTAACCCTGTGTCACCTGGTACCGCAGCCATGGGCCACATGAGGCTACTGGACACCTGGAATGTGACTACTCTGAATTGAGATGTGTCGGAAGTGTAAGATACACCCTGGAAGTCCAAGACTTAGTGTGAAAAAAAAGAATAGAAAAGGCCTCATTAATAATTTCAGGGGCGCCTGGCTGGCTCAGTCAGTGGGTCATGCAACTCTTGACCTTGGGGTTGAGAGTTTGAGCCCTATGTTGGTGTGAGATGACTTAAAAAGAAAATCTTAAAAAAATAATTTCAAAGTGTTGGTTACATGTTAAAATGAGACTATTTTAGGTATGCTGGGTTACACAGAGTATTTTACAAAAATGAATCTTAGCTGCTTCTCTTTACCTTTTTTTATGTGGCCACTAGGAAATTTAAAAGTACTTATGTAGCTCGTATTATATTTCTCCTGGACAGTCTGATTTAACACCTCTGAGCCGGTCTCCCCACCTACAGGATGAACGTATAGCTGTGTTTCCTAGCTCGCATTGTTGTTATATTTCTTTTTTTTTTTTTTTAAAGATTTTATTTATTTATTTGAGAGAGAGAGAATGAGAGAGAGAGAGCACATGAGAGGGGAGAGGGTCAGAGGGAGAAGCAGGCTCCTTGCTGAGCAGGGAGCCCGATGTGGGACTCGATCCAGGGACTCCAGGATCATGACCTGAGCCGAAGCAGTCGCTTAACCAACTGAGCCACCCAGGCGCCCTTGTTGTTATATTTCTGAGAGTACCCAGTAGTATGAAAAATGAGGTGTCTAGTATCAACTTTCCTTTGTCTCCTGAAGGTTGTGGGGTTTGGGTTTTTTGGCTGGAGCCGCAAATACCCTGCTTGGAGAGGCAGGGAGTGTTTCTGCGCCCGTGCTTCATGGGAATCAAACCCAAGACTGCACACGGAAATCAGCCTGGGTGGAAGCCAGTGGCAAGGGCTGCGGAGCTGCTGTGGAACCGGGAGGATATTAGCCTTAAGGCATTTTGGATGCTCGAGGCTTGCCTCCAGAGGGAAGCCTCTCCTCTGGCCCCGTCTATTTTCTGCTGTGTTCAGCAATAACAAAAACTATTCAGAGTATCTAGCGTCTACCACTCACTTCACCGACATCATCTTCAGCTCTCACAAAGCTCCATTCCTAGCCCCCTTTTCGGATGGAGAAATCTGAAATCCAGAAATGCTACACACTTTGCTCAAGGGCATACACTGAGTAAGTGGATGATCTGCAGTTCCAGCGGCGGGGGTGGGGGTGGGGGGTGGGGGGCTGCCACCAAAGCCCGTGCCCTTCAAACATTCCAATGCCCTGTGCCTGCAGATTGCCCGCTTACTGGCACCGTGCAGAAGAGTGCAGAAAATAACCAGGATTTTTCTAGTTGCCTCTCCCCTGGGTTTTGTCCAAGTACGGTACAGAAAAGATACTTCTGGAAAGAATCAGAGGACACAACGGATGGAGAGTCCCTCAGGAAGCATCTAGGCCAGTGGCTCTCAACCATGGCCACACATCGGCATCCCCTGGGAGCTTTAAAGAACACGGATACCTGGAGGCCAGCCCCAGTTACACTCTGGTGTAACTGGTCTCCGGGTGGCCTGGTGGGTTTGTTTGTTTGTTTTGACAGACTCCCCAGGTGATGCCAGTGTGCAGGGTTGAGAATACTGCTCTAGGGCAGGCCCGGCCCCTTCCAGGTGAGACATGGGAGAGAGGCCCCAGAGGAAACCAGCGGGGCCTCTGCCACTAAGCAGCTGCATGCCCGGGACTTACCCTGTCCTCATCCTGCAATGAGAAGATGATGTACGGGACCCATCCTTTTGCACATTTCAAATGTAGGGCCCACAAGTCTGCTTACGGTACTGGTTCAAACCAAAAGGGGTTCTGGTTACCCTGGAAAGTCTGCTTTCTGGAGTAGCTCATTCCGACCTCAGCTGCTGCTACATGTCATCTTGGGCAAGTCTCACGTCCTCTCTGAGCCGCAGGGTCTGCATCAGGCAAAGGTGGAGAACTGTACCCACCCCCGGGGCACCCTGGTGAGGACCGTGTGTGGTCAAGTAATGTCCCCTGTGGCTGCTCTACCAGCTCAGGTCAGATGTTAGTACTCGTCTTAGTAGTAGCACTCTCGAGAACTCAGGGCAACTGGGGATTGCCTCGGGCGTGTGGGGGCTGCTGACTGCATGATGTGGGCTCGCATTCCAACAGTAGTGCTTGACTGCGCTTAGGACACTTTGTACCCAACGTCTGACCTGCTCAGGAGGCATGGGGCTCCTCCCATGCTCTCAGCTCACACTGCTCCATTGCCCAGCCACCTTTTACTTCCCCAAACAAGCTCATCTCTTCCTCCCTCTGAGCCTTCCCTTGGGCCCATAACATCAGGGGCTCCCCTCAGGAACTCTGGTGTTCCCTGTGCCATGAAGATGGTCGAGCTGCCGACAGAACCCTTTCTCAGATGGGGAGCATGAGGTGCAGGGAGGCTGGGGTTCACTGGGCTTAAACTGTGCTTAAGCAGGTGTGGTAGACAGGATAATGGCCCCCCAAAGAAGCCAATGCCTAATTCCTGGAACCTGGGAATAGGCCATCTTACATAGCAAAGGGACTTTGCAAATATAATTAAGTGAAGAATCTGAGATGGGGAGATTGTCCTGGTGGTCCCATGCAATCACAGGGGTCCTTGTACGTGAAAGGAGGAAGCAGGAGGGTCAGAATGAGAGAAGGGGATGTGATGATGAAAGACGGATGGGGGAGGAAGAGGGAGCAGGGGCAAGGGGGAGGGGAGGAAGGGGGAGGGGCGGGGGGAAGGCAAGGGGGAAAGAGAGGGAGACTTGGAGATGTTATGCTGCTCGCTTTGAAGGTGGAGGAAGGAGCCATGACCCAAAGAGTGTGGGCAGCCTCTAGAAACTAGAGAGTACAAGCAAACGGATTCCTCCCTAGAGCCTCCAAAGGGGACACAGCCCTGCCAATATGGTGACTTTAGCTCAGTAAGACTCCTTTTCAGACGTCTGACTTCCAGAACTTTAAGAGAATAAATATGTGTTGTTTTAATAAGCCAGTAAATTTGTGCTAATTTTTAATTAGGAAACTAATACAGCAGGAAGCTGGGTGTCAGCTTTGTACCCAAGGGTCTTTCCACACCTCCAGCAGGGGAGCCAGAGTGGCCCACAGGACAGCACAGGATGGGCGCCAGAGGGGCGCTGGCTCTAATCCTGGCCTGGCCACTAACTCACTGTATAAGTCAGCCGCCTCCCCCCTCCTCCCCTCACCAAGTCCTGGGGCCTCAGTCTCCCCATCTGCAAGGGGTTGGAGTCCATGACCTGTAGGTTCCCCTAGCTTTCACATTCTAGGATGTTATGGGTCCAGTCCACACCTCCCCAAACTTCTACCATGGGACAAGGTGCTACTTCCCGAATATTTCCCTAATCTTTCCGAGAGGGTGTAACTGAATGATGGGAAAACCGGCTCCAGAGGCAGACAGACCTGCGTGTGCATCTGCCTTCACCCCTTCCGAGTTGTGTGACTTAGAAAAGCTGCCTCACGCCATGGGACTTGGTGTCCCCACTTGGAAAATATGGATAATAATTCTGACTACAGATGGCTGGGGGAGGTTAAAGAGGATCTGCATGCGATGTGCCCAGCACTGTGCCTGGCATTTAGCAAGGGTGCAGCACGTGGTGGCCGTGCTGGTGCTGCTGGTGGTGATGACTGTGCACCAGGCTTGAGGGACAGTGCTCACAGCCCTGTGGGCAGTCCGGCCAACCAAAGACGTGGACAAAGAAGAGGTGGCCAGCCGGGAGGTCCCTGAGCTGAGGCTCTGTGACAAGCTGGGAGCGGCTGTGCTTCTGGTAGGGGATGTCGGCCCTGGTCCCCTTGCACCGCACTCCTGGGGGCGGGGGTGATCCTGAGCTGGGTGTGTTGGGGAGGGGTCACCGCGTCAGCCACTGGGACCAGCCTGGGTCGCTTGTACTTACTCAAATGGGTCACTGGGGTCAGCTTTCTGCAGTTCTGGAGGAATTGGGATCCGCTTATAGTACATCTCCCAGTCAAAGGCGCCCCGCATGGCATCCCCTGCCTGTGTTTCGTACCGAAAGTCATCGTGGTCAATCACGTCAATCATCGGGCACACGATGGTCTTGCGGTTCTGAGCGATGCGGTCTGAAGAAGCCAAGAGATGCCCATTAGGGAGGCAGGACGGGGGAGCAGCTAGGTGCACAACCCTGCTCTGCAGCTTACTCACGTTTTTAACGTGTACCCTGAGTGAATTCTCTGAACACTCGAGTTTGAGAATCTCAAGAAGAAGGGAGAGTGCGGGCTTTAAGAAAGATGGGCCAGGGCTCCCATCCCAGCCCTGCTACCTGTGAACTACATAAATCATGTCTCTGAGCCCCAGTGCTCTCCTTCGTGAAACGGGGAGAAGAGGCTCTGTGTCCCAGGGGGTTATCAGTACCCGGATACCGTGATGGTTGGAGGTGCTCAGCACAGTTGCCTGTAATGGTCAGCACTATTGTGGAAAGAGGCTCATTTCCTTCTGGGAGGGCTCCTGTCCTGGCTCCGCATTCTAGGTCCTAACCTTGACTCGTGGCCCAAAGTAGCCAGGCATCCCGGCACTTGCCCCTGACAGCTCCTCAAAACTTCCTAGCTATGGTCAGTAGCCGAATGGCCCTCCCTGCGTGAGAGTTCAGCTCACTTCTTCCATCAGTCATAACTACTGAAGAGGGATAGACTATCCCATGAGTCCCTCATGACTGGACGTGTGCAAGCAAGCAGGGCCTGGCAGACCTCTGCTGTGCAGGAATGCTATAGGCTAGGTGATTCAAGATGGCAAATGGGGTCCCTAACCAGATGGCTTTTTATGGTCCCCTTTAAGCCAGGGAGGAGCTGATTCTATAAAATTCACTCTGCCCAACCTACCAACCAGAATTTTAAGCTTTGGTTGGCTCTGTTCTTCAATGTTCCTTCCAAGAAGAAGCTGTGACTGTAGCTTGAGGGGTGCCAGTGATTGGGGAAGATGATCTACCATAAAGGGCAAGTGGGCTGTGCCTGTCTGCTTGGGCCAGCAGTCAAGTTCAAGGCTTGGAAAGTGGAACATGGTAGGGCCAGTGGAGGCTGGCAGCTGCCTAGGGCTCAGACTTCATCAAACAGAGTTTTCTTCCAGGAGAGAAAGCAGCATTTTTGCTTTTCTAAGCTGCAAGACACGATCCATAGGTGGGTCATGAAATTGAGTGTGTGTTTGTGTGTGTGCGTGTGTGTTTGTATAATGAACCAAAAAAGAATGCTGAATGTCAGGGTGCAGTCCAGTGATAAGAAAAAGTACTTCTTCAGGAAATGTGTTTCAGTCCTACTGCACGGTGTGTGTGTTTGTGTGCTGGGCTGAGATGTCTAATGTATTTCTAACTGTGGCACATGGTCAAAACAGTTTGAGAAACGCTGCTTTCGGCAGTGTGTCCTCTGGCCGCCAGTGCCAATGCACCCACAGTGTGTTTACATACCCCTCAGGGCTGCCCCTGCCCAGCTGCACGGAATCAGAATCTCTGGGGGTGGAGCTTGGATCTGCCTGGTGAACGGGCTCCCTGGGGATGCTTAATGAAGTCGAAGAAACTTCTCCAAGGGAAGATCTAGAGAAGCGCTTCCCTTCCCAATTATTCAGGGCCACGCAGGGGATTTCACTTCGACGGAGGCTCTGGGCTCAGGACACAGAGCTCTGCTGGAGGCTGGCTGATTGTGGGAGGTTGGAGGTTAAGGGGTAGCATCAGACTGACAGCATTCTGGGGTGCTGCACTCACTGGGGGACAGAATGCCCAGGTCCAGACCCTGGTGTTGTCACCTATGAGCAGTAGAACCTTGACAAAGTTTATCTGATGCCTCTGGACTTTGGTTTCCATGCCGACAAAATGGAGGAAGACAACACCAGTTTCATGGGGTCTCTGTGAAGACTGAGTGGGACAGCGGGGCCAAGATGCTCAGCCCAGCCTCTCGCACATCCACACTTCCCATCAGCATTCTGCCGACATGGTCTGTCACCAGGCTTCCTGAAAGAAGCTCAGAAGCTGAGCATCTCCCTCGTTCTCTTGGTGCTTCAGTTTTCTCATTTGTTGTACGTGGATAATAATGCCTGGCCTGTCTGCTTTACCCCATAACCGTCAAATTCAAATGTGGCTGTGTCGTAAAAAGCTAAGGGACTAGCAGAGCCATGATGATGATGATGATGATGATGATGATGATGATGGTGGTGGTGGTGGTGGAAATGAGGACCAACAGTTGCTTTCCTTTGGGGGGGGATGAATCCTTCTCAGGGTCAGGAATGCCTCATCGCCACAGAAGGTGGAGTGAGCTGTGCAAGGAGGTGTTACTGGTTTCGAGACAAAAGCCCTGATGCGCGCTGTCAGCTGCTTGTATGAACAGGGACAGACTTTTACATCTACACCACCCGTTCACATTTCTATCAGAAAAATAAAAAATAAAAAAAGGGAGCATGTTTCTTCCATGTATCCTGCAGATTATGAAAATTACCCTCATATATTTCCATAGAAACAGAGTTAAGGGCTATTTAGGCTCCCAGCTCAGCTTCGTGCACCACCACTTCGTTCGCTTTATGAGTTACTGGATGACCCCAAAAATGGGTTGTTCCTTCAGCACCATAAATTAGGTGATTTATGGTGAGGCTTTTTTCTTTCTCTTTTCCTTTTTCTCTTTCAGTAATGAGAGGCAGATGCAGAGACCTCTTGGCTTCATTAAATAGTTTACCAGAAAATCTGTGTTATATCCTTTTCCTAACCCAGTGGGATCCTGGACCCTTGGGGTCAGAAGCATACAATCTAATACTGAGGTTCCATGCCAATCTGCGTCAGAAAACAGATTTGCTGGATTATCCCACTACACTGTGTGGGTTTTGCTTTCTGTTCTCACCTCTGTTTGGTGGCCTAACCAGTGCTCCTCAAAGTGTGGTTCCTGGGCCAACAGCAGTGGCACCACCTGGGAGATGGTTAGAAATGCAGCTCCTCAGGCCCTACCCCTAGATCTCCTCAATCAGAAACTCTGGGGTGGGGTCCAGCACTCTGTGTTTTAATGAGTCTTCCAGGTGATTCCGATGCAGGCTCAAGTTGGCCCTAAGCTTCATCCCCTTTGCTCCCCAGCTTTCTGTGATGGAGAGCATACCCACCCATGGGTGAGGAGTTCATTTTCTCTCTAGACTGACAACTCTTTTCCGATCTGCCTCCGTCCCTGTCCCTCACCTGATTCCTGGTCTCAATGGGCCATTTCCTCGATGTCTACCTGTTAGCACCAGCTCACCGCATTCAACGAATCTGAGCTCCGCAGAACTCAGACCTCCTTCCTTAGCCAGCTATGAGGCACCTCACTGCCCAGAATCGAATCCTCACGCCTCCCTTCTGTCTGCAAGGCTATGGTGGATGGCTGCTGGATCGTGTTGCCCTGTCCACAGCCCTTTCCTGATAGCTGTCAGAAACTCTCCAGAGAGGAAAGGAGTTTCGGGAAGGCAGTGCGGCGTTGTGAGAGTGACAGACCTTGGGGCCAGACAGATGGTGACTTTGACACTTACGACCCAAGGGAACAATATTGAGTCACGCAGTGAAACTCAATTTCTTCTATTAGAAGATGGGGACACTTCTGACCCGGCGTGGTTTTGTGAGGGCTGGAGATAACCCAGACAAGTTTCCTGGCTCAGTAGCAGTGCAGCGAATGTTAACTATTCTAAGTTGCTAGGATAATGTCTCTCCACAGGTTGGCTCCTACCAGTAGACAGCCTTGGCTTGCTTTCCAATAAAACTTGAAGTAATCTGGGGGAAGCAATCACGTAAGTAGATATTAGTGTGCTGTAGGACTTTGGGCAAGTCACTTATCCTCTTGGCTGCCTTCTCTGTAAAATGAAGGGATAGGGCTTGAGTGGATTTTTAAGGTTTCTTTGAGCATTCCTGAGTCCCCCGTGGCACCTGGTACTGGTTGGCTGCATCTTAAGCAGTCAAGGGAACCCGTGTGGATGATCCCTGCAGAAGGCTGGGGCCTACCTAGCCTTGGGAAGGTCCCTTACCGAGCAAGGGGGGGAGCCAGTTGACATTGGCTTCACAGTGCGAGTCTAAGAACGTGATGACATCCCCAGTTGCTGCTGAGGCCCCCAGCATCCGGGTCCTTATCAGCCCCTCCCGTTTCTTGGTTCGAAGAATCCTCACACTGGGGAAAAGGGCCATGTAGTCCTCGAGTGGCTTCTTCAGGTGCTCTGTGAGAGAGACAGAAGAGGACAAATGGACAGATGGGTAAGAACAGCTGCTTAGTAACCATTCGTGTCACCCCTCCCTTACGTGTGCACTGTACTTTATAGTTGAGACACAGCTTTCCTGTAGGATGCCTCATTGGACCTTTCAGGTGGGATCACCACCTGCATGCCCTAAAAGGGAAAACTGAAGCTCAAAGTCTTCCAGGGATCGTGCCAGGCCTGGAACACACAAGATCGTCTGTATGAGAGTGTGGGCAGCTGGGCTTGGCTGAGACCTAGTCCCTCTTTTCCGGATAACAATACTCTAATTTTGCTTTGTGAAACTGCCCCTCCCCCTTCTTAGGTGGGCTCACTGCATGCCCCGGAGCCGAGGGACAGGAGCACGTGGCATGGGCCCAACCAATCAGGGCATTCCATTTCCTTGCCTGCAGTGATTGGTTCAGGGATGGCCATGTGACTCGAGTAGCTTCAAACGATGAATCCTGAGTTTTGTTTTGTTTTTTTTTAGAACTATTGAAAAACGAGGCCCTTTTGTTTTACTAGAGCTGGTAAGTTAGTTGGCCATAAATCTGGAGGTGCTGGTGACATCTTTGGCAAATGAGGTGATGAGAGGTGGGAAGGGGGGTTTGGCTGGGCCTGAAGTAACGTGTAAAAAGAGTCGAGATGGAAATGATCCTGATGGCATTTTGATTCCCCAGATCCCCCTGTGCCCGAGGCAGACTCCCAGATGTTCTTACTACACATGAAACAAATGCCTCTTTTTGCTTATTCTAATGTGGGCTGAGTGTCTGCCCTGTGCCTGGTAAAGTTGTTCTGAATAGATCTCGAAGATAGTGTCTTTTTACTAAAAGTCTCAACCTTAACACTGGTGTCTCTTGGTTTTAATCAGGGTTTACGGCCCTTTATGAAAACTCTAGTATGGAAAAAAACAAAAAACAAAAAACCTCTCTAGTATGGCTACAAAAAACCCCTAAAGTTTGTATCACGCCTAATGATGAAATACTAAATGCTTTTATCCTATGATCAGGATAAAGACTGTACACTCTCTCACCACTTCCATTCAACACTGTACTGGAATTCCTAGCCAGTGTAACTAGCAAGACAAAGAAATAAAAGGCATAAAGATTGGGAAGAAAAAGGAAACAATATCTTTAATCGTAGATGAGAGGATTGTTTACACAGAAAAATCCTAGGAAACCTACAAAGAAACTAGAATTAATAGGTACACCTAGCAAAATATCAGGATACAGGTCAACTCTTAAAAATTAATTGTGTTTCTATGTACTGGCAGATAAAAAAGCAAATGGAAAATGCAATTAAAAATGGTAAAAATACCATTTTCAATTTAACAAAAAGAAGTAAAAAGTGTATACTTTGAAAACTGCAAAACACTGTTGGGAGATATTAAAGACTAAAATAGATGGAAAGATAGCCCATGGTCATGGATTGGATGACTTAATATTGTTAAGATGGCAATACCTCCTATATTGATCTAAAGATTCAGTGAGCTCAAAATCACAGCTGAACTCTTTGCAAAAACTGACAATTGACAAGCTGATCCTAAAATTTATGGAAGAGATCAAGGGATCCAGGATGGCCAAAGCAATCTTTTGATTACTTATACATGAATGTTCAAAGCAACACTATTCACAACAGTCAACTGGCGGAAAGAACCCAAGCTTCCATCACCTCACGAATGGATAAACAACTATGAAATATATCCATACAGTGGAATATTACTCAACCATAAAAAGGAATGAAGTACTGATACAGGATACAATGCAGACGGACCTCAAAACATAACACCAAATAACAGATGCCAGACACAAAAGGTCGCATATTATATCATTCCAGTTGTATGAAATTCCAGAATAGGTAAATCCACAGAGACAGCAAGCAGATTAGTGATTACCAGAGACTGCGGTAGAGGGAGGAATGGGGAGTGACTACCTAATGGGCATGAGGTTTCCTTTTGATCAGACATATTAGAACTAGGTGATGGTTGCACAACACGGTGAATGTACTAAATGCTAATGACTTTTATCCTTTAACATGGTTAACTTTATGTTATGTGAATTTTACCTCAATTAAAAAGAATGGGTAAAAGATTTGAATAATCACTTCTCCAAAGATGATATAGAAATGGCAAAAAATCACATGAAAAGAAGTTCAACGTCCTTAGTCATCAGGAAAATGAAATTCAAAACTACAACGAGATCCTACCTCACATCCACTAGGATAGCTCTACTGAAAGCGTCAGATGTTGCTGACAAGGATGCTGAGAACAAGAATCCTCATACACTGCTGCTGGGGACGTAAAATGGAGCAGCCACTTTGGAAAACAGTCTAGTCTGGCAGCTTCTCAAGCAGGTAAGCACAGTTACCATTCTACCCAGCAACTCCACTCCTAGGTATATACCCAAGAGAAATGAAAACACATGCCCACCCAAAACTTGTACACTGATGTTCACAGAAGCAATATTCAAAAGAGCCCCAAAGTGAAAACCAGCCAAACATCTACCAATTGATGAACGGACAAACAAACGTAGGATATCCATACAATGGAATACTGTTCAGCAATAGAAAAGGAAAGAGCTATTGCAACAATACAGATGAACCTTAAAAAAATAGTATGCTGGGTTAAAGCAGTCAGACACATAAGCCTAGGTATTATATGATTCTATTTATATGAAATTTCTAGAAAGGCAAAATTATAGGGACAGAAAGAAAGTCATCAGTTGTCTGGGGCTGGGTTGGGAGTGGGGACTGATTGCAAACAGACACAAGGGAGCTTTTTGGAGTGATGGAAATATTTAAAACTGGATTATGGTGATAGTTTCACAACTGTGTAAGTTCACCTGAGAATACACTGAATTGCAGACTTAAAATGGGTGATTTTTACATTATGTAAATTATATCTGAATAAGGCTGTTAAATAAATAAAAAAAAATTGTATTTCTGTGTACTGGCAAAGAACAATTGGAAAATACAATAAAAATACCCTTTATAAAACAGCATCATATAGTTAAAGACCCAAATAAATGTAGAGATAAATCATATGTATAGATTGGAAGACTCCATATTGTTAAGAGTCAATTCTCTTCAAATTTGTCTATAGATTCAATGCAATCCCAATAAAATCACAGCAGGTTTTGAAATTGACAACTTGCAAAGAACATAGAATAGTGAAAGCCAACTGAGGGTTGACGGAGGGAGGTGGGTGGGAGATGAGCTAGATGGGTGATGGGTAGTAAGGAGGGCACTTGTTATGATGAGCACTGGGTGTTGTATGTAACTCATTAAATTCTACTCCTGAAACCAATATTGCACTGTGTGTTGACTAATTATTATTTAAATAAAAATCTGAAGAAAAACCATACTGGTCAAAACACACACTCATTGTCTCTTTCTCAGCTGGGAAAGCTGGAGCTGACTGGAATCAGGAGGACTGGGCTGCACTCCCATGTCTGGCACAGTGGGCCCATCCTTGATTTCCTCTGGGCCTGAATCAGGGTTTGCACCAGAAGGTCTTCCCAGGCCCTGGACCCAGACCTCACAGAAGCCCAGTTAGCACTGACCAGAGCTACTGGGTGATCACCTTCCTTAACCCAGGCCCCGAAGCCTGCTCTGAATTCACTCCATCTGGGGTTAGAGCTGGAAGGGCCCTCGTAAGTCACGGGGTGCATCCGAATCACATAGTGGGCTGGCTGTAAGTAAATACAGCTGTATTGAGCATCATCCCAGAGGGCTGTGACTTGCTAAGCCTGGGGCAGCATCCAGCATCTTTTGTTTCGCTTGACCCGTAAGTGATTCTGATACACAGCCAGGCCTGGAAGCCACTGGAATAGTTCGGTCTCTTTATTTTTTTAAAAGATTTTATTTATTTATTTGAGAGAGAGAGAGAGCACGAGCAGAGGCAGGGGCAGGGGCAGGGGCAGAGGGAGAAGTAGACTCCCTGCTGAGCAGGGGGCCCGGCTAGGACTCGATCCCAGGACCCTGTGGGATCATGACCTGAGCTGAAGGCAGACGTTTAACTGACTGAGCTATCCAGGTGCCCCTCGGTCTCTTTATTTTATAGACAGAAAGCTGAGGTCCAGAGAAGGGAAGGAACTCCCTTTGGGATATACTTAATAGTGGGGCTGGTTTCAAACCAGGGTCCCCTGGCTGCCAGAACCCAATGACCCTTTTATTCTTCTAACCCCATATAGAAATGAATCACTTCCACTGTTATGTAAGGCAGATTATAATCTGCAAAGGAGCTTCACAATTTGATCCCCCCTTGCTTCATAAAATCATACTCTGCATCGTGCTTCTCTCCCCTTGACAGGGTGAGAAAACGGATGCTCAGAGAAGCTAAGAAACTCGCCTGAGGTTGTACAGCCAGTAAACCGCTGGTTTCTCTATAGAAACATGGTGCCTTCCCCCTTCTTGTATTTCCCCAAGCTCTCACAATCAATCACATATTATAATTTTTGCCAGTTCCACTACCCTACTACAACTTACTTAGTTTTAAAATCAACTCACCTTTTTATTATTTAATTTTTTAAAAGATTTTATTTATTTATTTGAGAGTGAGAGCGAGAGCGAGAGATTGAGAGAATGAGTGGGGGGAGGAACAGAAGGAGAAGCAGACTCCCCGCAGAGCAAGGAGCCGGACATGGGACTCGATCCCAGGACCCTGGGGTCATGACCTGAGCTGAAGGCAGACACTTAACCGACGGAGCCACTCAGGCGCCCTCAACTCACCTTTTTAAATTAAAGATTTTTATAGAATTACATTTATTTTAAAGGGAAACAAACACCATGAATGAAAAATTGGTATCATTTGTGATAAAGAGCTAATAAAGAAAAAACCCAAGTAAAATAAAACCGTATGACTCGATTTTAGCCAAAGCTTCCTGCCTCCCCACAACTAAGAGCTTAAATTACAGTCTGTGCTCTCTCTCTGTCAAGAAGGGAGATATGGGCAACCAACCGAGACTCTCCATCTGAGGTAATCAGAA